AGCTCTCCTTTCACCTGGTACCATGAGGTAATCGAGGTTCCATGACTCCGAAACCAGTGTTGCACCGTGCCCTCTATGGTAAACCACACGTTCTGCAGGCACTGCTCCCATTATGCCGGCCACTCGCTCGTACTGGTTGATCCAGTCCTTGATGTCTTCGTAGAGGTTGAAGTGAAAGGGCGTCGGAGTACAAGGGGCTTTGGCGTACGAGGGGTGTCGGTGTACGAGGGGGGACGGGCAGGTAAACGACGCGTTAGGCAAAAACGGGAGTCTTCGTTTGCAGGCCCAGTGGGCTCATTGATGGTTTCGTCGACTTATTCTTCTGTAATAAGTTCACGAATTTGCTAGACGTCCAAATTCTGGGCGGGTTGACCTATGGTGTGGCTGCTTGCTCAGGACTTTGTAGTCTGCAAGGGCGGTCTTCCTGAGTCCGGGAGTCGGCTTGCGCAGCGAGACCTCAGAGGGGCGTCCTTCATGGGATTCGGTACCCCGCACCTCCACCAGAAATGTCACGATGTAATGCGAAGGATTAATAATTAATTATGTTCCTCGCGTCTTGTTTTTTTTTTTGACAAAACAAGTTTTTCATCAGCTGCAATTTTGTAGTGATCTATGCAGAATATCAATGACTAAGAATAGTACTCGCTACAGATTTCAAAGAGTTTCCAAAGTTCCATTTCTAAAAGTAGGAAAAAAGCGTTCTACTTTACAAATAACTCATAGACTGTAGTAGGATAGATAAATGGGCTAGTTGGCACATCACTGAATGGAAAGTGCCGAATAAAAAAGGACGAAGAAGGGGACAGAGACGAGGCGCACTTTCAACTGTAGGTTTATTAAAACAAACATTGACTGTTAATACCGTCTATCTGGGTGTTGGCTCAAAAAGAAAAACTCTTTATCTGTTAAGTGCAGTGACTGCGCACTAAAACACAGACCCTCCCCTTGCTCTCTTATACGGAATGCCTCATGCATTTCTCGCGCTCATTTGTTAGCGTATTTGCCCAGATTTGTTTTTTTCTTTTTCAATTTCGCGCCACATGGGCACCTATCACAAAGCACCGCAAGATTGCCCGACAGGGACTGTTTCACTGGCCAGGCATGTTCCGTGGCCCTCTCATTTCCACAACGCCCCGTTTGGCCCACATACGATTTCCCAGAACTGATTGGTATGTTATATACACCTGACGTTGCGCACTTCACGTATTGCTTAGCATGTTTCTTTTGACTCACTTTACCCTCTCCCTTTTCGTTATTTATTCTTGAACATAGATGAGACAGCTTGTATGGCGCTGAAAATACCACCGGTACTTCAAAATGAGCCGCCACTTTTTTAGATTGTGAGATAGATTGTGTATGCAAGGAATCACCGCCGGTCGTGTTAGTTGTCTGGAAGGAATATGATCGTCATCTTTTTTCTTCATCTTGCAAACAAGGTTATCCGCTAGTTCCCCTAGAAGCGATTGGGTACCCTCCGGGTTTTAGATGATTCACCAGCGTGAGGGATCTTTCATCCGCGACATGGTGGCATGATTTTGACAGCGAGGCTCTCAATAGGTACGATGCTGTCCCCTTTTAACTAGTATGGATTGCGCAGAATTCAAGGGCAGAACCGCAGTGTTCTTTAGTGTGGAGAGCCACAAAGTAAACTGCCCGTTTACAGCGATCGTAATTGAAAGAGATACGTGGCAAAAAGAAGTCGGGAGGCTTCCTTAGTAGGCGGTTGGCCGGCCATGAATTGAGTCAGCCATTCCTGGTGCGAAACTCGGAGGCTGTCAAAGAATCTTTGCCGAATTGCGACCAGTCCTACAGCGGAGGCTTTTGTATTGACGTGGAGGACCTTTTCTATTCCATTCCGCATGACATGCTTTCCCCAGCGGTAAAAAAGTGCATTGAAGGAAACGATGAATAAGCTTTAGGTATTCGAGCGGAGTAAGTGTGGCATCTTTTAGAGTTACTAGAATGCTACCTTAGCTCAACTTTTGTGTCCTTTGGCAATGGTGTTTACGTTCAAAAGCGAGGCATATATATCGGCTCTCGTGTTGCGCCAGTGGTCCGCGATATGTGTTTGGCTGAATCTTGAATGTGATGAGGGAATACGTAAGGATATCGAAAGATAGCGGGAATTCACAATATGTCGGTATGTGGATGATTTCTTGGTGCTTGCCCCGAAGTCCATTATTGTTAGCATGGACTTAATAAAAAATGTGCTGGATTGTCTTAACTCGAATTCACGTGGATTGACGTTCACCCATGAAACAATGACGAAGGGAAGGCTGCATTTTTTTTAGATTTGAGCCTCAACTTCGAAGGTGACCATGTTTGTTGGAAACATGAGCCACGAACTAACAAAGGAGTTCTGCCCTTCAATTTTGCGCAATCCAAACTCGTTAAAAGGGGAACAGCATCGTGCCTAATGCGAGCCTCGCTGGCAAAATCATGCCAACATGTTGCGGATGAAAGCTCCCTCACGCCGGTGAATCGTCTAAAATTCGGAGGGTACCCCGATCGCTTCTTGGAGGAAGTAGGGGATACCCTTGTGTCCAAGATGAAGAAAAAAGATGACGATAATATTCCTTCCAGACAATTAACAAGAACGGCGGTGATTCCTTGCATTCACAATCTATCTCACAATCTAAAAAACTGGAGGCTTATTTTGAACTACCAGTGGTGATTTCAGCGCCAGACAAGCTGTCTCATCTATGTTTAAAACTAAACAACGAAAAGGGAGAGGGTATAGTGCAGGGGTGGCCAGGCCGACCCGGCCTAAGAGCCGCAAGCGGAACCACGAAACTTCCAAGAGCCGTGGGGGGGGGGGGGGGGGGGCAAATTTAAATTTTGTTTAGAGTCTGACTGTACGTATGAGTGCACAAGGCTGTGCAAATGTACGTATGGAGGTACAAGGCTGCCAAACCGCGAGCCGTACTTTATTCTGCCTGAAATCCCTTCTTTTTTTTCCTGGGACGCAGAAAAAGGGGGGGGGGGGGGGGTCCATTTACGAGGGATCCGCGAGCCGCACTTGGACCAGCAGAGAGCTGCATGCGGCTCGCGAGCCGCGGTTTGGCCACCCCTGGTATAGTGTGTCAAAAGGTCAAAACAAATACGCTAAAAATACGTAAAGTGTGCAACGTCAGGGGTATATAACATACCAATGAGTTGCGGGAAATCGTATGTGGGCCAAACGGGGCGTTGCATAAATGAGAGGGCCAGGGAACATGCCTGGTCAGTCAAACAGTCCCTGTCGGGAAATCTTCCGGTGCTTTGTGATAGGTGCCCATGTGGCCCGGAATTGGGAAAAAAACAGTTCTGGGCAGATACGCTAACAAAACAGCGCGAGAAATACATGAGGCATTCCGCACAAAAAAGAAAGGGGAGAGTCTGCGTATTAGTGCGCCGTCACTGCACTTAACAGATAATGAGTTTTTCTTTTTGAGCCAACACCCAGATAGACGGTATTAATAGTCAATATTTGTGTCAAGAAGCCTTCAGTTGAGAGTGCGCTTCGTCTCTGTCCCCTTCTTTATCCTTGTTTATTCGACGCTTTCCATTCAGTCACTCATAGACTGGCTGTGAAACGCATAGTCTGAGGTAACTTGCCGCTGCAACAAAATATGGTGATACATTTTTGCAGAATCAGCTCCTCCTGCGGCTTGCTGCATATGCTCACATTATTCTTGGTTCACTAAATTCCGTCGAAGCGGCCGTTGCAATCGGTGCGTGTTTACAAATTTTCCCATTTACACAGGCAAGACATTAGACGTTGCCACGCGCGCAGTTGAGCGACGACGTGCGTGGCCACATGGTTACCCCGCTTAACTGTCGCGTGTAAATCTGGGTTTCATTCCAGGTAGCGGAATGTTCTTTTATTTATTCTTTCTACTTGTCGTTCTCGCATGTTCGAGAACTTTCTCGTCTCATCGTGTTACGAATGTTCTAAAGCGCCGAACGTTCTAGGCCGAATGTTCCAGAAACCCACGCCGATACAAAAGGTGCTCCGCGTGGCGAGCTAGGGTCTGTCTCGCCCAGTGTTCCATCCTGCTGTTACGCCGACTTCGACACCCGCGACGCTCTGTTGTTATCATCTACTCCCTTTTTGTTTTGGGCACAAGTTCGCCCCATTAAACGTTTATTTATTTCTGTTTATTAATTGTTTGTTTGGTTTTGTCACCACCCGTGACATTCTGGTGGAGGAGCTCGGTAGCAAGCGTCCCAGTTCCGGGTGTTGGCCTTGGGTGGCGGCAACTTAATCGGGTCTTGGTAGTGCCTTTGTTTGGTCGTCATGGGCTTGCTGCCGAACTTGCCCTGCGGGCCCTCGGAGGGGTACGCTGCAGGGAAGCCCGGTACCCCGCACCTCCTACAGAATAACACGGGTCGTGACCAAAAGAACAAAAAATAAACAGGAATTAATAAACGTTTAATGGGGTGAGCTTGGGGTGAACAATTGCGATCAAAAGTTTGTCTCTTCATTCAAATTGGTTTACAAAGACATTGTAGTTATATACTTCACTTAATAAAGTTAAAACAAAAGTGCAGGCGAGCTGTTTAAAAACTGACATTTTAATACAGGAGAGTGGGAAGAGTGTTGTCCCGTCCTGTTTTCCTGCTCTGGTTAAAAAAGGTGAACTTGCTTTCTATTCTGTTTATGTACTAAGGCTTTGGCTAATCATTGTAGTCACAGCGTACTGACTGCATCTCGTCTATGTTCTGACGCTACAATTCCAAGTAAGTAGTTCGTGCTACTAACTTTAGTTCTCCGTGAAGAGTCAAACACTCTCATCTAAAAACCACTCTGCTAACTCTCTGTTTTATATCGCGGATCTCAATTAAATGCATCGCTCGGCTATTTTCTTTCTATTAAGCATGACCTTTTACTAATTCCACGTAACCATTACCAATAAGACGTTTCTAATCTGTTTCGTTCAGAGAACTGTGGACTTGTTACAACAACGCCAGCCTCTGTGATAAGCGAACGCATTTTGAACGGCACAAACGCAACTCTTGGAGCTTGGCCATGGATGGTTGAAATTTTAGATGACAGACACCGTTGCGGTGGAGCCCTGATTACCTCCCGACATGTGCTAACGAGTGCTCACTGTCTAACGTAAGCAATTTTAGATCTATTATTCTGTAAGTTTCACACTGAATAAATCCCGAAGCAGCCTAAAACAGTCCCTTTAGGTATAAAAATAAGTTACATTTTCACAAAACTCGAGAAAAACAAATTGTCGGCGATCCTTTCCTTGAATGTGTTTTCACATTTTCCGGACTGTGGTGAGCACGCGGCTCATAGTTCACACCTCGTACTTAGTAGATGACGTCATTTGCGAGTATAAAGTATAAACTGCATGTAAGCCACTTGGCGAGCGACAAGGCAAGCGACGGAAACCCACTTCGCTGTTGCTCGGTCAGTCGACCGACGAGGCAAACCGCAAGGAAGCGACGGGAGCAAGTGACCAAGGCGATGAGCGACGTTTGCTAGAAATCCAAAAACCGAGCGACGCGACGAGCGACACGGAGAAATCCTTGCTGCTCGTCGCTGACATCGCTTAATCGTTTACATGCGATTCAAGCTTAAACGTCAGTTGTGAGTTAAGCGTCAGTTGTAAGTGCAGCACTTGTACTCTACGTATCTCGCTTGTCCTTAGCGTTCCAGTATATATTACCTCTATACTTACAGAAACAGTTCTCCTAACAGCAGGCCTTTAAAAATGCCTGCTTCATTAGCTTACAGATAAGATTGTATCGTACATAAATTGGTAACCAATTCTGTCATTCACAAAATGTATCATGTCTCGTCAGAAGGACCGATCTAGTAAAAACGAATCCTTGTATTGTACACCGATCCTGGAAATAGTCCGACCGCGTAAATCTTCAACATTTTGAATGTTTACAGTACGCGGACTATAGTTCGGGGTGCACGGTATATGACACGCGACGCGTTATTTAAAAAGTGAACGTCTAAATTTATTTGGAAATCCATTAACCTGTCGCTTCCGGGGTGATGAAAAAGAGTTTTTCTTAATTTCACTATGCTCCCCTGCAACATCACCATACACTACGGAGAGCATAAGCATATCGTAATAGACCCTTTTCGAAAGTCCGCGCTATCGCCTCTCCGCCATACCTCGCTCACATACTTTGAGCATGTATTGGACACAAAAACTGCGTCATCGTTCGGCGAGCACACGGATCCAATCACGCACTTCGTGTCCCAGCAATGGCGACCGCCAATGTTGCAGGCGGAACTTCTGAAAAGTGCCTATTGTGGGCGGACCGTTGTCGATGCACGTCGGAAGTCGTTCAGCTGACACGGAAGTAGAGCATAGGATGGTGTTGGGCAAACATGTATGGCTACGATTTCTGGTGGAAATGAATATCTGCTTCATTAATTCTTTCTTTTTCTGAATATTGTTTTGCTTCTGCAGCCATGGTAACCAAACCGGTTTTTCTGTCATTTGCTGACTCGGGGCGTGTGAGATATATAGGGTGTCCCAAGTCGAACAACCTATATCTAAGGGTTTCTGAAAGCTTTCGCAGAAGCACGCTATATATATATATATATATATATATACTCTATGTGAGGACATGCAGCACGGCGAACGCAGCGACACGATTGCGCAGAAAAGTTCTGCTTGCGCGCGTCCGAGTGACTTCAGCCAACAGCGGTTCCGCCGTCCATATGGCGCAACTAAGGAAGGAAGAAAGTGAGACAATTTGTCTCGTTCCCAATGCACCTGGGCACGCGCTCTTCCCGCACATAGTGTCTGCAATGATCTTGACGAACTCTGTCTCGAACGAGAGGTCAAGCAATGTCTAAGGAACACGCATAGCCCAAGTTGCAAGTTCTACGTGCCGTGGCGCACCCGGAAAACGACTTTAAGAACAAGTGTGCCTCCCACAAAGAACCATAGGAGACCAGGTTCGCGACGGGCTACCATTAGCTTTCATTAGCCGCATATCGAAGAGTTATCTGACGGCGCCGCACGCAACCAAGACGAGCAGAGGGCTTCATCTGGCAGCTTCGGCGCGCGCGGTGTCCACACCATATATAGGGCGTTCCAAGTCACCAGGCTTGATCTAAATTGAACCGTAAAAATCGACGCCTGCACGTAGCAATCTAAACTTTTCGTCAAAGGTGTATTTCACAGGTCGGTTTTTCCTTGTAAAATTACAAAGCATAGCTCTCTCTCTGTAAACAGTAGGGCCAAGAAACTCGCCAGGGTTAACGGCGGGCGGCGACGCAGACGACCAAGTGCGGAGGTGCATCTCGCTTGGCGCTCGTATCGATAGATGACGCTACCTCTTCATCGAGACCGCTCGCGACCACCGCGGTTTATTAAAATTAACCTAATCTTTTTGTATATATTTATTTGCAACCGCCATTGCAACCAGGATGAAGAACTAAGAAATCAACACAATTTCATAAAGTGAAGGGCGACATATCGTACGGGTATTGATCACACAACGCGCGAACAAACGTGATAGGTAAATAAAACTTGACAACCTACTTGCGATATAAACACCAAAGTCCAAATGCGGGCGACGCAGAGCCCAATCCCAAGAAAACCCTTTGGAATTAAAGTTGATACACTACGGCCCATGCCGCTGCTCCCGAGTCTCGAAATAGACGTCTGCCAGAGACTCCCGCAAACGACAGCCAAAAAGCTGGAGTAATTCACAGTCTGTAGGCAGCTGGCCCTGCGACCACCTCCAATCTTGGCCCTGCTCTCCGGGTCAGCCGGATTACCACTTCGTCGTCCTCGTCACACGTCGCTCCCTCAGGCCACGTTCATCGCTGCCTCATCTGCCTCGGGAGGACTGCCTTTTCCCCCTGTAACCAGGTGCCCGCGTGATAAACATCCGCTTGAACCCCAACTGCTGCTGCGAACCAGTAAAGGCCGCGTAACCAGTTAAGGCCGGAAAAACCAGCCCAGCGGCCCCGCAGTTAGGTCCGGTTCGTTTAAACGAGACGTCTTGCGCTTAACGTCGTATCGGCGCGGCAACGGAAAAGGATCTCGCGACCCTGGCTGATTTCCTCGAACACACATGATTCTTGGTTGAACTGTAATCGAATCACAACACATCGACGCGAAAAAAGGTTCACCACATTTCCTACGCACCCCTGGAGCCCGTTTTCCGCTGTGTCCACTTTTCCCTCCCAGTGGTCAAAACGGTCAAAACCGTTGGCGCGACAAAAGCAGACAGGATGAGGTGGGCGAGAGGCGGCGTCAAGGCTGAGCGGCTTTGGCTCAGCCCCTCCCCTTCTCAATGATCTGGCATGGCCGTCCACCAGGCGAAAATGAGCCGCCCCGCCCCCCCCCCCCCCCCCTGGCTGCCGCCATGTTGTAAAAATTTGACCACTAGACACGTGACCGCACCAAATCCCGAGGCTTTTACGCAAAACTGAGCTGAGATGTGTTTTTCGATCGCTGTAAAGAACATGATCAGCTTTTTTCAATACTGTTAGCCCCAGAGATCAGTGTCTAGCTTGGGGGAATTCCCTTGCTGCTACCCATCTTGGGGAATGACACAGCACACCGGTTCAACAACATGTAGACATCTGATGACTGTTTTCTCCGCGCTGCGTCCCCGCAAGCCCCCCCCCCCCCCCCCCCTCCGCAATACGCTGCCGCGGCCCCTTATCAGCGGCGGAACGCCGCTCGCGTGGCCAGTTCCCCTTGGCCCACTCGCGGGGCAAGTGACCACTGACGATTTTTCAAAGGGGCAACCTGGGCAGACGCTATGAATCCCCAGGTTGCCCACACAGCTCCCCCCTTCCAGAAACAAAATAAGGGACGTCTGAGAAGGTCTTGGGGGCCTTCCTTTTGGGTCCGCAAGGTGTCCGCTGATGGGCGAGCACGGGTTCGACATCAGTACTTCCGATCAGTACCAATGCGGCTGTGGAGGGTCTGGTGATGGGAGATGCGTTGCCGCCGCTACGTGTCTGGCACGAGGAACTAGAAATTAACGTAAATGGCCGCGCCCACGAACCACGCCTGCCCAACTGCGCATACTGGAGCACGGCTACTTTGTCTTCTCCCTCCAAAAAAACCGAAGAGGACATAAATATAAGGAACTTTCAGCTCGCGCTACTTTTCGTCGCCTTCACCTAACTCTCAAGTTGTATCGCGGCAGAGACGGTGTGGAATCTTCAGAGCGGTGGTGCGGATCGTCGCCATCTTGAACTTGCGACACATCTATCTCCTCGGGTTTGTAGAGAGGTTTCAAATACGCAACATGAATAGACCCGCACACTTTACCAGATTCGCAATGCACCAGTTCATAAGACAGGTTGAAGAGCTTCTTACTGACATGGTAAGGGCCCTCTCATGTCTTTGCTAAAGAGGCAGTGAAGCCTCTAGCAGTATCACTCAGCGGATGACTTCGCCTCAGTTCCAGATCTCCTAACTTGAACTGTAAATCTCTCCCACCCCCCTTGTTGTACTGGTTTGCCTGCTGCGTGGTAGGGCGCGGCATGCTTGCAGGATCTGTGCAAAAAGGCCGTTTTCCAGGGGAAACACGAGCTCTTTCCCAAAGTGAGAATTGAGCCGGAGTAAAACCCGTGGGCCGGTTAATTTTTGTGCCGCTAGCGAATACCATTTCTGCCAATTTTGCGTGCCAGTCTTTGTGTCACTTTGTATGCGCTACAAGTATCAGCTTCAGGTTAAGGTTGACACTTTTCATGATAATCGCGTGTGGATGGTACGGCGAAGTTCGTTTGTGCAGTATGCCTGGCGCCTTACACGCATCCCCGAACACCTTGCTAACAAAATAAGAAACGTTGTCTGTAATATGCGTTGCGGCAACGCCAAAGCGCGCGACCGTCTCGAGAAAACAGACCCAGATTTTTCTAGAGTCCAGTTTGCGCATAGGAAACATTTCAAAACACTTCGTGAAATGGTCGATCGCTACCAGCAAATATTGATTGCCGCGTGGACAACGAGGGAAGGAACGACAACGTCACAGGCAACACATCCACAGGGGTACTTGCTTTAACCGACTGTATTAAACCTGATGGTTGGCCACGTCGGGGTCTCGCTTTCTGACAAACCGTGCAGCTACGTGTGTACCCCATTACATCCTGCCTCTTGCCTAGCCACG